CACACACACACACACACACATGGATACTTGGTTACATATTGACAAAGACCTCAGCATGATTTGGCTCCTCGTGATTCTGCTGACCCCTCCTTCACTTCCTCTCGTTCTCCAGCTTTCGGATTTTTTTGGTTTCTCTCCACCTTATTAAAAACAGATGTCAGGAGTAAAAGAATTTCTTCTCATAACAAACTCGTATGCCTCTGCGTGCATGTACACACACACACACACACACACACACAAGCGGCGCGCGCGCACACACTTCTTTTTTTTCCAACCTTTCTGTGCCGAGCAGCTGTTGGGGAGACAAGGGGGAGGTGTTCCAGGAAAAGAGGATTGTGTGTCTGCATGTGCTAGAGGGGTGCTGGTTTGTTTCCAGAATAAATGCCTTTTTGTGCGACCATAGRAGAAAGAAGACAAAAAATACAGCTGGGAGATTAAAACATTCAGATGCTGAATTCCTCCACTCCATAAGTGATTTCAGTGCTTGTAATTGTGTGTGTGTGTGTGTGTGTGTGTGTGTGTGTGTGTGTGTGTGTGTGTTCTGCTTGTGTCATCGCCTTTCCTCCCTCACAATGACTAAGTGTAAAAGAGTGTAATACTCCATATCAACCACTAGAGGTGCCATCAGCTCATAAATGAAAAGAGTGCATGTGGAGAGAGTGCAGGCTGTGTGTGTGGAAACCACAGAGCAGCCATTTTACAGTCTGTCTGCACACCAGACCCCATTTCATGAATCAGCTATGATTGTGCACATAAGTACAACTGATTTTATTGGCTAGAGCACGGCTAGTGCTGGATCTTTGTACACTTTACAGGGCCATTCATCTCTCTCTCTCTCTCTCTCTCTCTCTCTCTCTCTCTCTCTCTCTCACACGCACACAGACACACACACACACACACATGCTGACCTAGTGACATGATGCTTTACTAGGTCACTAATCCTTCCACCCTAACTGGACTTCTATTTCTAAAGACTACAAGCTATCTTGTCTAAATGTTTATCTGTGTTGTGTGTTTTTGTCTTGTAGGTGTTTAATGTTAAAGTTTATAGCGTGATGACTAACAACTTGTTATTCTCTTTATATCATATTTAGGAGGATTTGTTTTCCTAATGATGAGAGGTCAAATCAGTCTATGTTGGTTTTTCTATCCAAAGATGTACAATACCATGCAACATTCCTAAATATTTTCCTCCCAAGGAGCCAAACTTACAGTCTCTGCCATCTTTGGTTCCTCAAGCTCTCTGACAATCAATTAGAATATTTGTTTGTTTTTAGTTTGCACTGTGATTTACTCTGGTATAAAAAAAAGTCTCTAAAACTCCAGGGATAGCAAATTGTTGTGCTGCCACAGAAACGTAGCACAGAAACATTTTTGTTTGGGGTTGTACTTTGTCAGGTAGACATAATTTGCTCCCATTTCCAAATACATTTATGAATTGTGTTAAAGAGCAGTTTGATTCATAAAATAGTAGGTTTAGCACCAACAACATGATTTTTAAATCACTATTAGTTGAAAATGTAACTTAGAATAGATGAACTCAAAGATGATGCATCTGTAATGTCAATTGTCAGTTTTTTTTTTCTTTCTTGAAATGAAGTTTTTTAGCTTTAATTTTAGCTTTTATTTAAAGAAGTTAGGAGTGTAATAAAACT